TGTGATTGTGATTGTGAACGATATTTTGTTTAATTCTGCAGTAGATTTGTACATTTTCATTTAAGATTTTATTCGAACAGTAGTGCAGATCATCCATGACAGTCTAGACATTTGAGTTATTGTTATTATTCCACTCAAAGAGTAAGAGAGTTGAATGTTAATACCAAGTGGTCAATTGTATTGTTATCCTACTATAGACTTTCTTTTGAAGTAATGGTACCAGAATCTAAGTGCACTCTGATACGGAGCTAGATATGTATTGTTTTGTGAATCATAGCCTCATAGGCTTATATCTGTTAAATGGTAGAAGTGTGTCCTTAGAAATTTATTTCTAAAATTCGAGTATGCTAGTTTGCGTTATTGCGAGCTCTATCATGCCTAATCTTACCTTGTCAGCTGGAGTTAGTATAGTAACCTTCTTCAGCCTTTGTGAAGATTTATCTCTGATTGTATGATTTTTGGTGCCTGCCTGTTCAATATCTACATTTAGTTGGGATTCCTCATATACAGGTGGCTTGCTCGTATCATGATATCCTGGTATGCTTTTATTTGCCTCTGCTTCTGTTCTTGAAACGTTGATCTTGTCAAGCTTGTTTTGCTTCAGTCTGTATGATGTTGGTCTGTATGATGTTGGTCTGTGATGTTGGTATGCTTTTATTGGCTGTTTTGGCATGTTGAAAGCCTATTAGCTCAATTGGTCGAGCACCGTGTAATCACGGGATGTAGGTTCGAATCCTACATAGACTTTTTTAATACTTATTTTTATATTTATCGACCTCTAGGTAAATGGTGTCAAATTGATATAATTACCCGAAGTTAATATATAGTTACCTTATTTTCGATATAATGACCTTAGAATTATGGAAATGTTGTAAATTTTGTTTCAGTCACCTTATTTTTATAATATATAGTGACCTTTATTTTTGTATATAGTGACCTTTATGTAAATGGTGTCAAAAACTCAGACGATATAGTTACTTTATTTTTGTATATAGTGACCTTAATGTAAATGTTGTAAAAATTGTTATAGTTACCCTATTTTTGTATATAGTGACCTCTATGTAAATATGGTCAAAATTGAAATAGTTACCCTATTTTTGTATATAGTGACCTTAATGTAAATATTGTAAAAATTGAAATAGCTACCCTATTTTTGTATATAGTTACGTTATTTTTATATATAGTGACTCTATGTAAATATCGTCAATTTAGATAAAGTTACTTTATTTTAGCATGTAGTGACCTTTAAAACGTTGCGTTTGTCAAAAAAAAAAAAAAAAAAAAAAAAAACCTTTAAAACGGTTGAATTGATTATATGTAAGGTTGGAATGATCTTAGGGCTTTAGAACCGTCTGATCTTTTGTGCTAGTAATGAATGACTAAGATTGCTTGTTTTTAGTTTTCACCATAAGCTCTGTTTTTAGCGGAACCTCCCCGTATATATATATATAATAATATATATATATATATATATATATATATATATATATATATATATATATATATATATAAAGAGTTGGTGCACATTGAGGAACCTTGCAACCTTAAACCAACCTACCAAGTTGTATAGTAATAGTAATGGAGAAAAGATTGTATGATGCAGCAAGAATAGGGAGTGTAAAATCCCTACTAGATTTACTCAAAGAAGATCCAATAATTCTTGACAGAATTTCCACTTTAGGAATATATTCAGAAACACCCCTTCATATATAGCTGCTATTTTAGGTGACGTTGACTTTGCTAAGGAACTCCTAAGAAGAAAGCCAACCCTTGTCTCTGAAGTTGACTTACACAAATCTACACCACTCCACCTTGCATCAGCCACCAACAACGTCGAATTCGTAACGCTGCTGCTCAACGTTAGCCCCGGGAACGTGTGTCGAGCACAGGACGCGTTAGGAAGATGTCCCGTTCATGTTGCAGCTATTAAGGGGCGAATCGATGTTTTGAAAGAGTTGATGCGAGTTGATCCTGGTGCCGCCCTCGTTAGGACGGACCAGGATGATAGTATTTTACATTTGTGCGTTAAGTTTAATCAATTTGAAGCGTTGAAGGTTTTAATGGAAAATATTAGTGATGATACGTTTCTTAAGTGTGGGGATTATGATGGTAATACGATCTTACATCTTTCGGTTCTAAACCAACAATCTGAGGTATGTATGCTTGTTTTTTAGTTACAATGTACGTATGGACTAGTTTTACTTATATGTACTCTTCCGTCCTTAAAAAATGACCTCATTTACGCCATTTCATTTGTATTAAGACTTGCACTTTATTTCTTTCATTAGGATAAGTTGTAAGTAATCTATGTTTTACAATTTTACTCTCCCTTTATTATCCTACCACACGATGGATTAAATTCGAGTTCAATTTGAATGCCCCTATGATTTTCTTCATTGCATCACATATCCTTCAACATTTAATTAGTTAATTACATAAAATAGTTTTTGGTTATATGTTGTTCTTGTTAATGGGCACCACTTCTTAGTATTATTATTACTATATAATTATATATCATCTATTCATCTTATTGATTTAGTCTTATTTCTCATAAACATATGTAGTTTTAAGGATTCAAATTAAAAAGATTAATGTTCCATTGACCTTGACATTTTACACATTGATATGACAAAGACACAATATTTAATTAAGTCATGCAGTCATGCTTTGAATTTATTCGTAACGTCAGTCGTGCACAAATGCACAATGGATGCATAAATACCAACTACTTAAGGGGAAATTCCCTATTTCTCATGGTGAGAAACAAGAGGGCTGCCCAGTTAATCTTCATGATTAACGTTTTTTGTCAATCTTCGCAGCCACGTTAGCATGTTGGCTTTGAGGGAGTCCAGTCAGCAGCCATGTCAGCAGCCCAGTCACATGTTGAAGAATACACTTAGATGGATGTCGTTAACGGCTCCGTCACTTCTTTTTTTTTTTTTTTTTTAATTTTTTATTTTTAAATTGCTTAGTCAAAAGATGAATTAATTGTTGGTATTGACCATGCAAATACAAGGCTTTCACTCATATTTCTTCCCAACCAAGCAACATTTCTTGATTACAAAAATTCATTAACAAAAAACTTGAGTGAGCGATTGAGAACGGAAAGATGGTGAGGAAAAATCAACATCACAAGTCCGAACTAATGGTACAATCGTTTGTTTAAAGTTATCTTTGTAAGTTATTATTTAAATTTGTATTATTAAAAAAGGATTTTTTGATTGCATGTAATATGAATAAATAAACCTATACTAAATGATTATTTTCCTCAAAAAAAAAATGATTATTTGAAACATTTTGTAATCAATTATAATTAAAATGGACAATATTGAGAAATTGAGATGGATGAAGTTTATAATATGTGTGGCAATTGGTCATTTATTTTATTGTGGGAAAATGCTAAATTAGATAGAAAATAGAAGTGATTGACTTGATTCTCTTTTTTTTGGCTTCCAACACCAATATATAAAATACAAGGTAATCCTAATATGATAGGATTAGGAAACTAAAATAAGGAAAAGATATCAAAAACATTAACTAGGCTTAAAACAATTCCGTCTAATTTTTTTTTTTTTTTTTGAGCATCTTGATTGTTTTTGAGCATCTTGATGCTAGGCTTAAACAATTCCGTCTATTTTTTTTAAAAGAAACAAAAATGGGATTAAAGTAATAGTTTAAATGGGACTAAATATATTTTAATGGGATTAAAAATAATCACAAAAATGGTAGCCCAGATGAAATAACTTCAAGTTAAATTAATTGTTTGTTGAATTTTAATATTAATTATTGTTAATAATTTGTACACATATATAATTGATTTGGTGTCATTATAGCTAAGAATTGGTTGATAGAAAGTTTGGAATTATAATTGCATTCTTTCGTGAAAAAAGAATAATTAGTGTGAGCGATGAAATTTACTATAATATTCAAAATCTATTTTAATAAAAGTCAAGCAACATTTGCATGTTGATTTATACAAATAAAGAAAGTCAATATACAAAGGGAATATGCCTCCTTCTTCCCAAATCATATCTGCCATTTGTGGGGTAATTACATTGAAACAAATTTGCATGAATTAATGAACGATGAAGTTTTTAATATGTGAAAAGTTGGTTTTATATTTTGCTGTTTGGAAAACAATTTCGGGTGAAGATCGTATTTAGATGGTGTAAATAAATATTTGTTGAATTTTAATATTATTTGTAAATTGTTGTACATTTACTTCTCTGTCATTCTTGTGTTTATATGTTTTGCTACTTTTTTTGGATTCTAAGACCTGTTTTCTTGGTTGTTTTTGAGCATCTAGATGCTTGATCTTTTATTGTATCTGCTTTAATTTGTATTACTTTGAACCTTGTTTTTATTTAAGTTGAACATGCAAATAATGAGTATTACATTAGCAAAGTGTAAAAAATCAGGAAGAAAATTTTTTATTCAATCTATTGATGTAAGATGAATTGAATGAGAGAATTTTGCCATATGATTTAGAAGCCAAATGTGTTTAGTTGGTTGGTCCAATTTGGCAATTGCCAGCTAAATTTCAGAAATGCAACCTGTTATATTTACCCCCTTTTATCTTTCCTCATTAATGTTTCTAAAGTAAAGTGATGAAAATTGGTAGTATAAAGGAAAAGTCAGCAGCATTGTTAGTGATATTATTAAGGTAATTAGCACTTTTGATTTCTGTAGCTTTGTACACTGCAACAAAGCAGCTCATATATACATATATATATATATATATATATATATATATATATATTCGAAGTATATATCTAAGTTAATTCTTCATTAGGAAATTATTAATTATTAAGAAGTATTGACTTAGCTTAGTAATTTATGTTCTTTAAAAAGGTTAGTAATTTATGTTTGCATATATATAAATAGTTTGAATGTTTTATTGGTATGTTTGGTTAGCATTGAATTTCTTTTTAAAGATGGTCTTATACTTTGAAACATTTCGAGCAGGTGTATGAATTGGTAGTAAGGATTTGATTTAAAGAATGGATGATAGTATGGATGATGGAAGTGAATATGGGGATGTTCATCACACAGTTATTGATCTTGGCGATGATGATGATGACGACCAACTTTATGATGAATATATGTCTCCCATCAACACAAACGAGACATTGGACGAAGGAAGTGAATATGATGATGAGCATGACATTGTTAGTGAAGATGGGTTCGGGGACCGTGATGGTGATCAATTTATGTCTCCCATCAACACAATCGAGACATTACAGACAGTTGTTGGTAGTAATGACGTGAGTGTAGTGAATTTTGTTGAACCTCCTAGGGTTGGAATGATTTTTAGGAGGTGGCAAGATATCGAGGATTATTATAAAGAATATGCAGAGCAGCAGGGATTTGGGGTGACTAGGGCACAAGGTGTGTATTCAAAAGGTGAAGTGAGAGACCGTATTACAACTACATGGAGGTGTGAATGCTGGGGCAGACCAGACATGAGAGCAATAAGGGATGCCAAGAAGAGGGCAAAGGTTATGGATGTATCTGGTTCAGGTGGAGTAGTTGGGGGTGTCGTGTGTGTGGATGAGTTAAAAAAATGTAAGCGAAAGTCCAAAAAGTGTGAGTGTCCAGCAAAGGTATATGCTGGTCTTAATCGTGATGGGGAGTGGGAGATAAGGAAGGTGCATTTGGAACACACGCACAACCCTACACCACGTAAGGCAAAGCTTGTTAAGGAGTATAGAGTAAAGGGCATAACATCGAGGGTTAAGAGGAGGTTGATAGATTTTTTCGAAGAAGGTGTGCCCATTTCACAAATTCATGGGTGCTTTGCGACTGAAGTGAAAGGGCTAGATAACCTCCAATTTACTGTGAAAGACTTGTCGCATGTGGTATACAAGGCAAGAAGGTTGAAAATGGTTGGGGGTGATGCATCAACATTGATGAGTTACTTTAGAAAAATGCAAGAAGGCAACAATAATTTTTTTCATTCTGAACGCTTAGACCCAGACGGCCGGTTGAAAGATGTTATTTGGGTTGATGGGCGTAGTCGGGCCGCATATGAAGAATTTGGTGATGTTGTATGCTTCGATGCTACTTATTTGACAAATTCGTATGAGTTACCATTTGTTAATTTTGTGGGCGTAAACCACCATGGACAAACTATACTGTTGGGATGTGCATTAGTTTCCCACGAGGATTGTGATACATTTAGATGGATATTTGAACAGTGGTTGTTATGTATGAACAATTAAGCTCCGGGTGCAATTCTAACTGACCAGGCAGCGGCCATGAGGAAGCCCTTAGAGGAGGTTATGCCATTGACTCGACATAGATGGTGCATTTGGCACATTATTAGGAAAATTCCAGAAAAATTGGGGAAATGTCAAAGGTTTGTTTTTATGACATAAATTCGTAACAAATGGAATCATGTGCAACCATATGATGCAAATACTAGAGCACAACCATGTGATTGATATACCAGACATATATGTTGTTAGTCGATGGCGCAAGGATATTTTTAGGAAACACACTCGAGTCGGGGTATCATACCATGACCCAAATAAATCTGCCGCTGTAAAAAGGTACAATAAGTTGATGGCTGAGTTTGAAGACTTATGTGACAAAGCAGCTATGGTGAATGACGATGCTATAGACATTGCCAGAAATGCTATGATGCATGTCAGATCTCAAATTGAACAATGCAGGCTTAGGAAAGCAGCAGAGAGTATTTCCATGTCATTTCCTGATGAATCTGGCTTAAGAAGTGAAAGCATAAATCAGACACAGGAGAATACAATTGATCTTGATATGGATACTGCAGATTTGTTTCCTCCTAGTGAAGGATCCCATATTAAACAAAAAACCTCGTGGTAGGCCGAAGGGATCTAGAAATAAAACTCTCGCAGAGATGGGTTTCAAAAAACCAGGCAACAATAAGAAGAGTGCAACAACAGGGAAAACAAAGAACAAAATCAAACTCGGCAATAAGAATTGTAGAGGGAAGGTGACTAATGAATCAATTGTAAAAGGGAAGAAATATGGTAGTAAGGGTCAAGTGAAGAAAAATAACACTACCACAGGAAAGTCAAAAGTCAAAGACAAGGATAACACTACCAAAGGGTCTGCTAAGTGTAAGCTGACAGAGAAGTCAACAGTCAAAGACAAGGAAAAAAGAGTCAAGGTAACAATAAACAATTTATAATGATAGTTTATTATTATTAATAAATTAATCCATATAAGTTTTGTTAAGGTTAACATTGATTTTTGAATTGTAGGTGCATAAGGTTAAATTGCTTGAGGATTTGGTGTCGTTAGTGGATCTTACAAAAAATGTAAGACAAGAAAAAAATATGGGGGACAAAAGTCATTTGTTCTATAAAAGCCATACGTTTAATGTAACTTGTAACTAAGTACAATTTTGTTTTTATAGAATAAGCGTAAGGGGACAAAAGAGATGAACATTGGTCGTCCTTCAAGTGATGGAGCAAAGAAAAGACACACTTAAATTGATGTGGGGAGCATCCAAGATTTCCTTTCTTAACAGATTTTAATGTTTCGTTAGATAGACTTTGACTTACAAGTTTTTACCTTTCACTTGAAAGGGTTTTTCTTGTTTTAAGCACCTTAGGATTTCTTTATTAGTTTTGGTTGTCTATGTAATACCATCAGACTTATGGATTTGGATTTGGTATGCTTTGCTTAATATCAGACTTTGCTTTGCTTAAAATACCATAAACTTTGGAAGCAACCAAGTTGTTCAATTATCATTTATACTAGAATAAGTAACATAATGAAAGGATTAGAAGCCTAGCTCAAATGATTAGGATAAATTATTAAGATATCTCTAGAAATATAGAAAACTGATTAAGTGGATTGGCTTGTATATGTGTCAAGGTGTTATGAATTCATAATCTTAGTTACCATTGAATTCATAAATCAGCGAATAGATAATTCTGACTATATCTTGATAGAATGAGTAGAACAACAAATTCATGGTGCTAGGTTGTTTTACTTATATGTCTTAAAACCAAACTATTCAGTTCATTTGTAAGAATTGTGTACTTTAGAGGTACCATGTTATCCACAAACACTATAACACTAAATCACCATATTCATTGTATCCCCTTCCCAATTTCCAATTTCATGCCTCCCTTAGAAATACTCTAGACATATATTTCATTTGAGATTAATGGGCAACAAAAAGCTCCAATATCATTGTCACGCCATTTAATTAATTAATATATACTATAATAAATAATATATAACCTTATTTAATTATTTTTCATTAAAAAAAAAAACAAATAAGATGGCAGCAGTAATCGAACCGTTGATGTGTGGAGGGGAATATGAACATAGTGTAGTAGCATGTGCCATTGCGAAAAGTGAGACATTTTCGTTTATATTTGACAATTACGAGTTTGATTTAGACCCTAACTCCCTAATTAATTAGTTATTTTTTTTAAGCAAATCCACAATTTCAATTAACATACACTAATGCTTTAAGTATCCTAATTGATTAGGTTTTTTTTTATCTTGTCTACCTTAAAAATGCTTAGTATGGCTCTATTATTGAAGTTTTTTGTATTCAATTTCCATTGTAAACCAACAATTGATTTAAGTTTATTTGCCTAAAATGAATTGGAAAAAATACAAAACTGATCATAAAAATAATGAGAGATATTACCTCACTTAATCCCATACAATTAAAGGTTAAAATTGCTAAAAACATTTAATTAAAATGAAACAATAAACAAACCAAAAATTTAGGTCAAACCATGTACATGTTCCTCTTAATTGAAATATATCGACTCACCACTTAGATCAAGTCGGGCTAGTTTCGTTTAATTTGAAGATCAAACTCTACCTTAAGCAAGTCGAGTTATAATCTTGTTGTACACGTTCCGAAGTGGTTTTGCATGTATCAAATATAAACTATGATATATTTGATTATTTTCTAATAACTTGTCATAGAAGCCAAGATCATCTATTGGTTAATGGACAAAAAAATCAAAGGGTGCATGAAACAATGAGTCCATGAGAGTACACTTTGCAAGTCTTCATTTGTTACTCATGTCTTCATGTTGAAGTCAATAGCCAAAATCATCATTGAGGTCATAGTTTGAGTTCAAACAAGCCTTGCATGTGGAACACAAACTACCCTTGCATGTTGAATTGAAGTCTTGCATGTCCAATACAAAGCTTTGCATGTTTGAGGTGTAGAGTGTAGAGTATATCCTTAAATGACCTACTCTATACTACATACTAGCTTCTTATGCATCACTAGTTTACTACCTATAATTTTTTTAGAAACTTAAACAATGTATTATGACTTTTGCTAAATTTACAAACATATACTTAGCTTTTGAATAATTTACAAAATCATGTATTGATATCAGTCCTGATACTTACTTTAGATATAATAATTGATATTAATTTTGTTAATTCGATACTTTCTCAAATAAAATAGCATTCAATATTTTATAATTACATTCGTATTTCAATGAGATATAAAATATAATTTAACTCAGTAATTCAATTTTATATATTATTACAAAGTCACACAATGACACAATAGTACAATACTATGTACGATTATATACATTTTAGTTGAAGTTAGAGGATTATATACATTTTAGTTGAATTAGAGGATTATATACATTTTAGGTTTTAATTATTTGAAAAATTCTATAGCTATACTTTATAATAATCCATTAATATAGGAAAAAAATCTTCAACATAGTTGCAGCAATATTTAATTTATTTTGTGTAAAAAAACATTATTTCAATAATTCAATTATTTAAAGTCAAACAAAAAAACATCCAGTATTTAATATTTCTAGAATTAATTACTTAATTTAGCTAGCTTAAAATCCAAAAACCTGAACCAAGCAAGCTGTTTTTTTATATATATATAAAATTAGTTTACCTAGCTAGTTTTGGAATTAACAAATATGAATGGTCATTTTGATAAATACTTTTGTTAAATGGGCATTTTGGTAAAAGATCCAAAACAAATTGTTGTTCAATAACACTGTATACACATATGAACCCAGCATTATATATCAAGACTTCGCATTATTGCAATTTATTATTATATCTAAAGATACAATCATTCAAAGATGAGTTCCTCAAGCTCAAGCCCTTCATACGCAACTAATCTCACCTGCGCGCATGGTGTGCACTCTAGAATCGCAACAGTTCGTAGAGGTCCTAATATTGGTAAACGTTTCTATAGTTGTCCCTTTTGGAAGGTAATACATGTATAATTTTTCTAAAATTGCAAGATAATTATTATTTTCTGAATAATTGTTTGTGATTCTTTATGTTTTTATTTTCCAGGATAGATCTAAGGATTGTCGTTTTTTTAAGTGGGAAGATGATTTACCAACAACCCTTATCGGAGCTCAAGAACAAATTATCATGCTTCAAAGGGATAACGACACACTTACAAAGGAAAATGAGGAACTGATAAGTGAATTACAAAGATTGGTAACTTTGGTTGAGAAGACTCAATTAAGGACTGTCAACTTGAGGGCAAGGAATAATTGTCTACTTGTAGTAATAATAATATTACTATTTGTAATTTTTATTTTGTTTATGTAAGTTATGCCTAATCACTCAAACAATGTACTTTGTTTGATTTGAAGTTTTCAAATTCAATAAAGTCATTTCAGTTTGATTACGCCTAATTCGGAAAGATTGTTAAAAAATTTAGATTAATTTATGAAAACCCTAATATGGTGTTATGTGTTTTCATCAATTTTCAAAATCTTATTTTATCAGTTTATGTGACTTAATAAATGGAACACAAAGTAAATACATTTGTACAATAAATTTTGTAAGAAAAAAAAAAATTCACACTTAATCATTGTACATCAATAAATTGTACATGAAATCCATAATAACTTAAACCAAAAATGCATGAAAAAACACAATAAATATTTTTTAAAGGAAATAAAACATTCATTAAGAACTGAAATAAAATACATTACGCATAGGGTACCTTTTTAAGATAACACAAATCATAAAATGTTGAATAACAAGACATATTTTGAAAATTCCCAAATTAATGCAACAATAACACCAGTTGGTTAATTTCCACGATCTACTACAGCTTCATTCAAGTATTTAAGCTTGATGTGCTTTCTTTCAGACTTGCAATGGCATACCATTCAAAATAAAGCACGCCTTGCAACCGGATGTCCCTTAAATTAACAAATATAATATAATTAGCAAATACATTTAATTTGGATTCTACTTCTTACAAAATAGTAAAGTATATATAATTTAATTACAACAAATATAAATTTAATTTTAAAATATTCCATACCTTAAAAAACATATCCACCTTCACGTAATCCGAGTGTACATGTCTTTGGTCTCCCGCAATAATGTCATCCCTCCAAAGAACAATAACACCTCCAGAGACACCATTAGGGGATATAAATGAGAAGCGATAACTACCTGGTAGTTCCCTTACAATTAGTTGAACATTCTAAACACTTTGCCTTGTTTCCAACAAGACAACTACACCAGGTGCATATAATTGCTTAAAATATTCAACAAATGATGGCCTTGCAAGTCCTCTAACGTTCCAGCAACATATAATTGTGTCACTTGGCATCGCAATACATGGAGTATTAACAAATGCTACCCCTCTTGCGCCGTGAAAGGTAGTAAAATCGACTTTATAATAACCTGCAACATACTCAGCGAAAATGTCAAATCCAACCCATATATGAAGAACATGGGGATATGATGGAGTTTTCAAAAGTTGAAATGCATCTGTAAACGGGTCCATCAACAACCTAATAGGGTTATGATCTAATTTCAATATAGGAGAATCTATATTTATAATAGGCCTCGGATCTAGAACATGCAAAGCTGGAACTAAATTGTTTGGGTTGAATTGTTGGTATCCAAGACACCACCTCAAAAAATTTCAAATTCATAACGTATTGGGTATATGTCGTGAATGTTGGGTAAATGAGCGGGTCGTGGTACACCACTTCCATCAATTGGGGTCATAAAAAGGTTGTTTAGTGTGTTGTTATTAGGGTTTGAAGGATTAATAATCAAATAAACAATTGTTTCCAATGAAAGTTTTGTGAAACCAGTTGGTTCTCTAGGATCTTTGAAAAGATATTGAAATGATGAGAAATCTATCTCAGATACAAGCCCAGATGGTGGAGTGAAAAACATAAGAGCTAAATTTCCACTTCTTGTTCTGCAACGTCTAGCCATTGCAAGAAGAGAAATAAACTAGCAAGAGATTGATAATTTGATAATATTGACAATCTTGTCAATACTTACCTAGTATATATAGATGTAAATCATGTAATTATGCATGGGTCAACATATTTCTTGGTCAACAAGTTATCATTAAAGCTAAATACAAGTGTAAGGCATTTATTGATGGTAAGTACTTCATAGCAATGTAGTACAATATGAACTCCTCATTTTTAAATAGTGTTTCAATTAGCTAGATCACAAAATAAATTATATCTTAATAATTGAGTGAAGGAATTTAAACATACTATGTGGTATAACCGTGTTAGTAAAATTTTTGTGAAAAATAAATAAATCAAGTGGGTTTCATAGTACATTGAAACTCAGATATTGAGAAAGAACATTTCATACATTCATATTATTTTTCGATTACCATGGAGATCGAGTATTGAGGTGGACTATGTGAATTGTTAA